TTTTTGGATTGTTCATTGTTAGTATATAGAAATGCAAATGATTTTTGTGTGTTGATTTTGTAGTCTGCAACTTTGCTGAATTCATTTATTAGTTCTGCCAGGTTTGTGTTTGTGTGTGCATGTGCACACGTGTTTATATCTTTAGAATTATCTGTGTAAAAGAACATGTCATCTGGAACAGAGGTCATTTTGTTTCTTCCTTCCCAACTTGGATGCTTTTAAGTTCTTTTCCTTGCCTAATTGCTCTGACTAGAACTTCCAATATTATGTTGAATGGAAGAGACAAACACAGGAATCCTGTCTTGTTCCTTATCTTAAGGGAAAAACTTTGTCTTTCACCATTGAGGATGATGTTAGCTATGAGTTTTTCATAAACGGCGTTTATTATGTTGAAGTTTCCTTCTATTGCAGATGAACTTCTAAATCGTTTATTAAGCCCTCCTATATCTTTTTATTTTAAGGAAAATCACACTGAATCCATAGGCTAATTTTGACAGTACACTAATGATAAATTTGCTTGCTGTACCACAGAATTGTCACAGGAAATGTTACTGGACAGGAATAAGAATGCTGATGACATTAAATATAAACTTATAATATTTTGTGATACTGCTTTTATTTGGGAAGCATTAATATAATTTATATAAGGAAAATGAAGCATAAATATTAACTTAATATTTTGTGATACTACTTTTAATGAGAAGAATTAATGTAATTTATATAAGGAAAATGAAGTTATAAGGACTTTAGTACAAAGGCAAAAAAATCAAACCTATGAATTTAGCACTATTTAATCTTCATAATTTTTTCTTCTACTTTTTTTTTTAACTTATTTCCATTGTTTTTTTTTTACCAGCACATCCCACTGATGAATCACCACCACCTAAGAAGGAACATTTAGGTATTATTTTGGTTACTGATATTCCTGCATTATTAGACCCTAGAGTTCTACATGGAAATATCATATTTCAATTTTACTGCAGAAACACCTGGAATCGGTAGTATGTGTAGACACATGCAGATCATACCTTTCTTAAGAGGTCCCCCACGTTAGGATTCCTAGCAAGGGGAAGTAACTTTCTTCAATGCTATGGTTATACATAGGTTAAAATATATAAAACATAACTTGCTTTCCAGGTGATAGTGTTATTTTGGGATGACAGTTTGTGGATAAATTTTCTTTGTATTCATATCTTTAATACACAAGCCTTAAAATACTATAAGTTGGGTGAGGTTTTTCTATAATCGGCTGGTGTAGCACACTTTGTGTAGGCTCACATAGTTCACACGATTTGTGTTAAAGAAAATAATGAAGTATAGTTGTGACAGTTAAATGAAATACAAAGATTTCTTGATCAATAAATGATGAAAAATCTCTATGACTTTTATTTATATTAGACGAGCTTAGTAAGGTTACTCCTTTTATGAAATGCACTTTAGACTTGTTATATTTTTCCCTCTGAAGACTGTGGTCAAACTGTCATTGTGCCAGGAACTCCAGTGCCATCTTAAGGTGTGAAACACTTGATGATTTCTCCTGAAATGAAAACAGCAGAGTTAAACATGACATTTTACACTTTGACTTATAGAAATTTGATAAAAATAATGGCAGTTTAGGAGTGGTACTACTGACAGACATTTCTACAAATCAAGATTTTGTAGTATTATTTATTGCTCTCTGGATAGTTAGAACATGTTAACTTAAATACATGTTTAAGTTTCTCTGCATAATTTTTATCCATGTGCCTGGTGTTTCATTTACATTCTCAGAATTTCCTTGGTAACTTGGACTATGTCTTAATTATTTTGTTGGAGTGGGGAATAAAGATGGGTTGATGATAAGATAATGTATTGTTTGTGAAGACTCTGCAAATAGCATCTTTGTGATTGATTAATGGAACTTTATATATGACTTATTCCACAGACTCACTTTTGAGGAAAAAATATGAATTAAATTCCTAAGAAAATCATAAGAAATGATAGAATGAATAGTGAACTAAACCAATTAGTTTTTAAAACAATTTTCCTCCAATCTAGTGAATTCTAATTGTTCTAATAACCTTTACTAAATAACCTGGTGTGGTAGCTACAGTACAAAACAAGGAAAAGTGAGGTTCCCATGAAGAGTTTCACAAGTTTGGACCCTAGACCTGGAATCTGATTAGAAGGGTTCTGTGATCAAAATGACCTGGATACACTAGCAGGCACCCTAAAACCAGATTGATAAACTTTTCTTTGCTGTAGTTTTTAGTTGATGTGACCAGAATGAAAATACAACTGCTACCTGGAGGCCCATATGTGTTCGATTATCTTCCAACTGTTTTCATTTTTTCTCAGGTGGAGGAATCATTGCTCTGATTGTTATCTGCGTACGTAAGTATCCCAGTCTTTCATAGTACTTCAAATATTACTGTGAAGAAGTACATTATTTTCTTAATGATTTGTCGTTTCTACAGTTTTTATAGCTTGAAATTAAGTAAACCGGTCTAGAAACCTGAGCTTTTCTATGATATACTACCTCGTCTTGGTGATTGTATATTCTTTTATATTCTATATGTCCACTTAGTAACAAACCCTAAATAATATGTTTTTTCAAAATAATTAGTCATATGAGTTTACTTCCCAAATATACTTTGGGTAATTTTCTAAATTAACAAGGCCTCTTCTCTGACTTACTGTGGACTGTTTAAGTGATTCTGGGGAAGTGGATTTAGATAGTGGAGAGTCCAAATGGAATATAAATGTGTATGTGCTTAAATAAAATAACCTTTCGTGGCCACTGAAATGTAACCAACATTTATTTCTTCTACTAGATTTTCAATCATGGTAATTAGTTTTCAGTCACATGTCACCTGTTTCCTTGTTTCTTGTAGTTGGTGCTGTTGGAGGAATTGTCGGCCTCGTCCTGTGGAGATATCATCGCACCAAGAAGAAATGGTAAATTAAAGCATGCTTCTTCTAACTTATTGGTTCTTCTCATTCTTGACATACGTTTGTGCAGCTTTTGTTTGTACTTTGTATCACATGCCGTCTTTTTTAAAAATGTGCCTGCATGAGTGTGCCATTAGAATTGTATTTCTTTACTAAAAATATTTTCAGCTGCTTTTAATATAATTGTAACAAGAGTAACCTGTGCCGAGTTGCTTCAGCTATTATGACTGTACAAAAAATTTCTGTGGGATTTGAGGTTTAAGTTCTGCAGTGAATCATGGACCATCATGGGGCCCTCCCTACCCTAGGTATACCCCATTTCCTGAATTGGACTAGTGGCCAAGATTAAATTTAAAATAATTCACTGTGGAGATTTGGACAGTTGAATTCACGGGAATTTTCACAATGCGAGTTCCATTTGTCTCTGTAACCTAGGTAGTTGTGAGGAGCTCTGTAGTTGTCTCATTCAAATACACAATTTGATTTCTTTTCACATTGAGTTATTTATACATGTGAAACTGGGAAGAATTAAAGCAACACTATTTGATTTCCCTCTTATGTTCTCTTAATTACTAGGTTGCAGTAAAACTGATGGGGTTAAACTTAAAGTTGCTGAGAGGGGTAAGATTTGCAAGGCACATTATCTTTGTCTTTTTATTTATAAAATTGAAAAAGTGGGAGGGGCTTAGAATAGAAAAAATGTACAAATCCATATCTTCTAAGGAGAACAGAGTTTTTAAACAGCAAACTTAAATTTTAATGAGATAATGTACAATTTAATGAAAGAATAAATCCTGGAGCACAGACCAAGATTAGGTGCTTTGGAATTGCTGATTTTTTTTTCCTGAATTTTTTTTCCCCTGTCGCTTTGGAAGTAGCTTTGAAATCAAAGTAAGAATTTTAAGACTTTTGGTATTTATGGTTTTATGCTATAATTTGCTTTGATGTTAATCATTGGTTTTGGACTATGCCATAAAAGTACATTCTTCACTCATAAAGAGCTCAAACTTTTTTTTATATTACTTAGTTATCATTTTAAAATACCCATGATGCCTTCATTTGAATCTTAAATCTTATATTTGTGGAACACATGATATGCATATTTGATTTCTCTATCAGTAGTGTCTTTTTAAAATTACATATAGACAGCAGTCTGTCTAGGAAATACTATGGGTGGAATATTTTTACAAGTCCAAAATGTTTGTGTAGAAATGACTTCTCAAGAAACTGAAACAAAATAGCTTTGTGCTCCTCACTTTCTTTCTTTGTTTAAAATATCACTGCATCAAAATCCTTAAAGGTCCCTTATTAAGTATTAAGCAAACTCTCTCTAGCTACAGTTAAAGGACCCTTTAAAGGTGAACAATTATCTGAACAATTATTCCCCTAGATAAAGGCTCAGTGGCATCATTGATTTGAGATTCCATTTCTTTTTTTTCTTTTTGTGAGGAAGATGAGCCCTGAGCTAACATCCATGCCAATCTTACTCTTTTTGCTGAGGAAGACTGGCCCTGAGCTCACATCTACTGCCAATCCTCCTCCTTTTTTCCCCCCTTTTTCTGCGCAAAGCCCCAGTAGACAGTTGTGTGTCATAGTTGCACATCCTTCTAGTTGCTGTATGTGGGACGCCGCTCCAGCATGGCCGGAGAAGCGGCGCATCTGTGCGCGCTGGGGATCCGAACCCGGGCCGCCAATAGCGGAGCACACACACTTAACCGCTAAGCCACGGGCCGGCCCCCTGAGATTCCATTTCTAATGAGCTCCCAGGTGACGCTGCTGCTGGGCCTGGACTTCACTTTAGGGATCCAGGGTGTAGAGTGCTATTGGTGTGCCATATTCTTGAAATGTGAAGAAACAGCATCCAGTTTATTGGCAAATTTTTCTCCTGTTTGAGATAATTGGATTTTTTAAAGACTCCTCATCTATGTGTATGATTTTTAAAAGGGTATGGGGTAATACTTAGCTTTATTTTGCTTTTCTTTAAAAAAAGTCAAGATTTTTGTTATATTCTTTGCATTATTTAATGTCCATAATCTTCTTCCCAAATTGGCTATTGCCTGAGAAACTCCTTTACAAGACTATAAAATGTGTGCAGTTACTTCTCTGTTTGTAGGGGTAACTCTGGAAGCAGGGCACCAGGCACAGATAATCCCAAATTGCTGTTAAAACTTGGTTCAGAATGGATTTGATGTAAACTGTACTTATGATGATTTGGGAACACAATTACCCTTCTACATCCTTCATAGCACAGTACAAAAATAGTATAAGTAGTCTTTTTTTTGGGGGGTGAGGAAGACCAGCCCTGAACTAACATCCAATGCCACTCCTCCTCTTTTTGCTGAGGAAGATTAGCCCTGGGCTAACATCCGTGCCCATCTTCCTCCACTTTATATGGGACCCCGCCACAGCATGGCCTGACAAGCGGTGCATTGGTTGCACGCCTGGGATCCGAACCTGTGAACCCTGGCCCGCCGCAGCGGAGTGTGCGCACTTAACCACTGCGCCACCGGGCCAGCCCCCTATAAGTAGTCATTTTTAAGATCATTAAACATGTTTAAATTACTTGATGAAAAATGGCCACAAGGTTGAAGTATTCTGCTATAGTTTTCTGTTTCTTGTTTTTCAGCTAAGAATAGAGTAGGATTGCAATTGGTCTGAAATGTGCCCCATCTACACACTCCTTCCTTTTCCCCTCCAGTGTCTTTTCTTACCTAATGTTTCTACCAGACTTTCTAGTCTTGGGATCCACAGCCCTTCCCTGTCCTTTGCTACTGCTTGAGTCCTGTTTCGCATGTCATGACTGTGTGATTCCCAAAAACAGATGCCTTTAGTTTACATTAATGTTTTCACTTATTTGTAATGATTTTTTTCCCATAAATGCATGATTTTCTTTACTCCGGTTAAATCATTCCTGGATAAGTGAGCGTTCACTAAATTCTTTAGAATTATTTGCATAATTCATGTATTTTATTACCTGTGACTAAATAGATTTTATTTTTTTCCATCAAGGTTATTTATTATTTGTTATAACTTAAACCTGTTTTTAATGTTCTATTAATAATGACTAATTCAGTAACTTTGTAATTTTTAAGCTATCTCTTTACATAAATGTTACAACAGTTTTTTGGATTTAATATATGTAGTGGCCAGTTCAGGTAGTGGGGAGTGTAATGACATGGGGTAAAAAGTTGAAGGATCAAATTAACATTTTTCTACTTGACTCTCAGATTCTTGAGCATTGAACAAACTCTTCAAAAAATTTGAAACAAAATTAATAAATAAATCTTTTGTAATTAGTTTTGATAGCACATTTATGAAATTTAGATCTGTCCCAGAAAAATGGGAGGTCATATACTAAGTTTTACAGGGATCTTCCTCAGGTTGAAAACAAATGTGCCAGGGAAGAAACTGTACTCAATGCAAAAGTCCAGATGCATCTGAGAATGTATGATGTCATAAAATTGATTTCTGAAACCATATTACATGGACTTAATTATATGCTCCGTGTGTTCCCTCAAAATAAGGTGGTGGGGTCCAGGACCCCTTCTCCTCACACAGTCTGTTTTCTAAGAGAGAGAGTTTACATTATTCACTTCAGGCTAAATGGTTTCAGAGATAAACAGATTGCACAGAAATTCAGAATCTGTTCATCTGCTGGGTGATCTATAAGACTTCCAAGTTAAAGTAGCTTCTTGTACAAACTTCCTGTTTCAAGTTCCTAAGTGAGAATCAGAAAAGTCATAATTTATGAACCTAGGGATCAGCTTTACCTCCATTCTCCTCTGTCATTGATTTGACCCCACTTATTATGCCACTCTCGCTGCCTTTGGCTTTGATGTCACTATTATATTCAGCCCTTTTCCCTTCCTCCGTTCAGCACGTACCTAACTGCTGAGAGCCACAGAGAAGTAAAATTTATTTCCCTCTGAGAAGAAGAGATGAGAGAAAGGTTTGCTTTTATCGTTAAAAGGTATCTGCTTCCTGTTGTGATTCTTTTCAGAGATGTCGTTTCTTTTGAAGAATATTCAGTGAATATTGAGACAGCAATGACCTGAGCTAAGATATGTGGGCAGGAAACATCAGAGGACACTCAGAGTCCTGTTGCCTTTGCTCAGTGATTGGTGTTTTCTTCTACCATTCCTGTTCTAAACAGGACATGAAGTGTCCTCATGGCTTTTGCTTTGCTGTACACTCCAGTAGAGTAATGTCCTCCTCGTCCTTTTATCAGACTATCTAGCTTCCTCTACCTTCTAGCAGCTGTGAATACAAAAGTGAGGAAATTTTTTAGCCCAAGGGGAAATAATCACAGAATCTGTTAAGTACAGGGAGAAAAAGTGTCCTTTTACAGAAACCAAAATACATTTTACTTAATTTTGTAAATGTATACGTCACCCTGAAAATAATTCTGTAAAGGCATTTATCTGTTTCCCTTGACCAGAATATTTTTAATATGTGAAAGAGAAACCAGCAAAAAAAATCCTCAGATTTTGAAAAATTATGACTTGCACGGCCTTAAACCCTTTGACCCCAACCACCTTCTGTCTTTGAATGAAATGAATGGGAAATGTTTCTCTATTTGTGCCAAAATGTGTGTCCACATAGCTGGGCAGAGAGGGAGATGTGTATCCCACCTCACAACGTGAGGCGCCACCCGAGGTTACAACCAAGAGTTTGGGAGAGATTCTGCAAAGGGCAACAGGAAGGGCAATTTCTTGGTAAAGCCGAGTGGTGTCTGTGAGCACAGGGGAAAGGGAGAGACAGAACATACCAGCTAGAAGGGCAGTCTGGGCCCACCCAGCCCTGTGTGTCTTCCTGGGCTCCTAGCATTCCTTTAAGCTAAACCCAGCCAGGAAAGTAGTTTTCACACTGTCGTGAGCTTCAAGGTGTCTGTCAACATTTGAAGTTAATTCAGTGAATGCTGAAGTTAATAGAAAATATCAGTACTTAGTGATTCAGTCTCAGATTTTTATTATCTTCAACTAGGTTTGTTGTTTCATCAAATAAATATTTCTTTAAATGTATATTAATGCTTACTTAATTTCTCATATCTTGGATTTCTATTTAAAGAAGAGGATGCCACTACTACAGAAAAAAAAAATGTATTGACTTCGAAAAATAGGAGAATATAGTGGTCTTGGAGAAATACTGACAGGCAGAAATACTGACAGTTATTAAGTCACTCACCACAATTGTCCGTAAAAACTGCCATATTACAAGTATAGTACTGTGACAGTGATGGTTCATATTGATGGGCTCCCCCACAAAGAGAAATATTAAAGTATCCGAAATTAACATAGTTAGCTGTTACATTGGTAGGAATCCCTGAAGTGTTTGCTGTGGGAAGCATCACTAGCCCAAATTTAGTTTTAGTCTGTCTATTAGAGTCAGTTTAGTAAGGCAGGGACTAGAACTGCATTTTCCAATTTAATAGGCAATAGCAATGTGTGGCTACTGTGGACTTCAAAAGTGGCTAGTGCAATGGAAGATGTGATAGAGGTATAAAATACACTCCAGATTTCAGACTTAGTATGAAAAAATGTAAAATAAATGGCAAAATGTTAATATTTTGACTGTATTGGGCTAAGTGACGTATATTAAAATTAATTTTGCCTGTTCTTTTACTTTTCTAAATGTGGCTTATAGAAAATTTAAGATTACCTATGTGATTCACATTATATTTCTCTGGATAGCACTGGACGAGAATAATAGATTTTAGAAGGATATCTATTGTGACAATGAAAGTGTGATGGAAACTTTAGTTATTTAGGAGAATCTCTTACTGGAACACAGGATTTCCTTGACAGTGAGGGGTAAAGGAGGCATTATTGAACTTGAACACTGTGGGAATCATTACCTTTTTAAAAGTTTCATCTCAGAGCCGGACTTAAAATTGTGATATTAGGAAAACATATGTTTCTCTCCAGTCTTTCCCACTGGCCCTAAGTTAAAACGAGGAAATATTTACTAAGTACTTTATATGCGAGTGCTCTAGTTCTTGTTTTGGAGGGAATCAAAAACGTAATACAGGGATAGAAGAAATGTTTCTAGAATGAGACTAGTTGAATATTTGAAATTACTTTAAAAGAATCATTTATTTCCTGGTTCAGGAACTCTTGATACTATAAATACAGGGTTGTTTTTTTTAATTGTCTGTTTTCTAAGTGGGCTTCTGGAATTGAATTTCTGTACTTAATGATGTTTATCTCTGATTCTGTCTTTTTACCTTGCCTTGTAGGGAAGCAGAGGTTAGCACTGCATACAGCACTTACCAGAATAAATCAACCATTCCAGCAAATCAGGCGCTCTAAATGGTTTCCACAAACCAGTGCATCAGTTTATCTTTTGATTCTGTTAAAATGTTAAGATCTACAGTAAATTCATATAGCTACTATGGAAAACAGTATGGAGGTCCCTCAAAAAATGAAAAATAGAACTACCATATGATCCAGCAATTCCACTTCTGGTTCTTGACCCAAAAGAAACTAAATCACTATGTGAAAGAGATATCTTCACCTCCTTGTTTATTACAGCATTATATATAATAACCAAGACATGGAAACAACCTAAGTGTCCATTGACGGATGAATGGACAATATGGTGTGTGTATATATAATGGAATACTATTCAGCTGTAAAAAAGAAGGGAGTCCTGCTATTTGTGACATGGATGGACCTTGAGGGCATTATATTAAGTGAAATAAGTTGTATATATAGAGAGAAATACAGTATGATCTCAATTATGTATGGAATCTTAAAAAACTAAAACTCATAGAAAAAGAAATTAGATTTGTGATTGCCAGAGGCGGTGGGGGCACGGTGGGGGTGGGGGGTAGAATTGGGTGAGGCTGGTCAAAATGTGCACACTTCCAGTTATAAGATAAACAAGTACTGGGATGTAATGTACAGCATGGTAACTATAATTAGTAATACTGTATTGTATATTGGCAAGTTGCTAAGAGAGTAGATCTTAAAAGTTCTGATCATAAGGAGGAAAAAAAATTTTTTTGTAACTATGTGAGGTGATGGATGTTAACTAAATTTATTGTAGTAGTCATTTTGCAAAATATATATTATCAAATCTTTATGCTGTACAGCTTAAACTCATATATGTCAATTATATCAATAAAACTGGAAGAAAAAAATTTACAAAAGTTATTCTGTTGTTTCTTTCACTGTCATGAATGCAATTGTTAAGAAATAATGACAACATTTTAATGTGGTTTGAATGTAGTCACCATCCTTTGATGCTCCTTTGAAACATGAATGAATTTGGATTTGAACATCTTGCCTGTTTTCCCATAAATAACACTTGGCATTTATACGGCAAGTCACAACAGTATCCTTGGTAGCATTAAGATGGGGAAATGATGTTTTTTAATAAAATCTCCATTTTAGACAAGTATAGTTCAAAATGAAATTACATTTCATTCATAAAGAAAGTGATTTTGAAATCTTTTTTGTTCAAAGATTAATGCCAACTCTTGATTCATTCTTTCAACAAATCTAAAGTGGGGTTTATATATTGTTTATTGTAAAGAGTCTTTACGAATATGTGTCTACTCCTTCAGACCTTAAAATTTAAAAACAACACTGAAAACTGGGATTTTGAACAAGTTTGACTTCCTTAACTAAGAATACTATTGGAAAATACTCTTCAAGTTAAAAGGGTAAAATTCTACTTTGTAAAAAATTATTTGTAACTTCTTGGTGATGTAAAGAAGCTGTAACGTTTATGGATGGCGTTTGTTCTTCACCTTTTTTAATATCAATAAACCAGTCTAAGGAATCAGTAAGGATTCAGAATCAGTTGCTATTTCTGTAAAAAGTTAGAGAGCTCTAACCCCCATAACAAGACGCCATCCCGTGGTACAGCATGAGCACTGTGGCCTTGTGGTTTTCTTAAGGAGAATTCCATCTTTAAGAGAATTAGAATCCACTCTAAATTCTGGCTATAGGTGGTTTTC